GGAAGTCTTGGACGGTCTCTCCAGATTTATCCAGGCGGCATGGGCAGCCTGTTGCTGCATGAGGTCGGCTGCTTCCACTCAAGTCCTTCTCTTCTAATTCCTTGCATGTACAGACGGTTAGAGTTGGGAGCCTTTCAGAATCATCGAGCGTCTAGACTCTAGACTATTCTAGCCCAATACCCTTCCTCCTCTTTTTTGATAGTGAAGGAAAGAGGTCCAGAAGGGGGACCAGTGACAGACAGCAAGCACCAGAACCGAAACTGGAATGTAGGACTTCTCCCTCCCTTCCCCCAACTCTCCCCCTCCGTCTGGGAACCAGAGCTAGAAGGAGGTACGTTAATGAGTGGTTCTGTCCCTCCGGGCCGGGCTGAAGAGAGTCCTGGGCCCCCCTCACCTGTAAAATGAGCGATTCAGACTAGATAAGCTCGAAATCTGTGACTTTGGTTCCTTCATTTCGAGAGGAGAAAAATGAATGAAGTCCAGACAGGTTTCACAGATTGACAGTAAAACAGAGATTCCCCGACTGCCCCCTATCTGCAGGGCGTCTGCCCCTTCGAGTAGTCGGGTTTTCTGCACTTCGAGGGAAAGGTGAGAGGCTGCTTTTTAGCCGCTTTTCTGCCCACTTGAGCCGCGTGACTCTTGGCGTGATCACTCTAGGGGGCGGGGTTTCTTGGGCTTTAGGTGCAAACCCAGTCTTGGGTCGGGAGAGGCTTCGAAGGTCCCCTTTACCCCACTTCCGCTCCCGGCTCCTCTCCAGCCCTTCGCCTCTGGGCATCTATGAGACAGCGTTGGGGTTGGGGAGTTCGGATTCAATACAGACAAGCTCTCGCAGGGTGGCCGGAGCTGGTTTCTGAATGGGTCAGTGGGCTCCTCCTGCCCCCTCTCCTCGCCTCTTCCCGGGTCTCACACATGGGCTCTTAGAATTTGGAGAGACCTAAGGGATCGCCCAGTCCTGCCTCTTTATTTGGCATTGGAGAAAACTGAGGCCCAGAGAGGGGACGAGATTGTTATAATTCACACAGGCAGCAGAACAGGGATTGGAATCTGGGTCCTTCTCTTCCTTTCCCAGGGCTGAGGCCCCGGTGTGTCTATCAGGAGGGCGGTCTGGGAGTGATTATCAGGACTCTGGAGTTTTTGCTGTTGTTGTTTGCCCTGTCTTCTCGAAGAGGACCATGACATCAGGGAGGTGATGCCATGACGAGCAAGTGAATTGGATTTAAGTGAGGGAGGGCTGTGCAAGGTCACCAGCCTCACTTTCTTCTCCGGAGCCTATTCTGGAGAGAGTCTCATGAGGGCGCTGTGTTCCAGCAGTTCTTTTGTAAGGTTGCCCCTTCTCACCACCCAATCCTCTCTCCGCGCTCCACGCCCACAACTTCCTCTTTTTGCTGTGGTTTCTGCTACAGCCCCGACTAACAAGACTGCAATGCTGGGAAGGCTTCATTTATTTATTTGATTCTGAGAGACATTTCTCCCCTGAATATTCACACATTAACAGGCATAGAAATCTTCCCATTTCCTTCTTATCTCAATGACATCCAAACCCTCAAAATTTTCTTTCCATAGTCAGAATGGAGCATTTCACTTGCCTCCACTACTTTCTCAGTGGGAAGGCTTTAAAGGCTGTGTAATACATCATAATAGAAGTACTGAATTAGGAATCAGAGGAGGGAGCCCGAAAATCCCAAGATCAGCTATTTGAGAGCCATGTGACCCCTGGTCAAGGTGTTCATCCTCCCAGAGACATATCTGAAAAATCAGGAGGTCAGATTAGATGAACGCTAAAGCTCTTTCCAGCTCTCAATGGATGATCTGATGCTTCCTCATTCTCCTTCCCTCTCCTCAGTGGCTTCTTTTTGCACCCCAGTCCTGACCTCTCTCTTGTCTTAGCAGATGTTCTTGCATTTTATTTTCCTTTAAAAACAAGGGCCAAAAGCTGAGAAGTTCCTCTCATCCCCAGTTCTCTGCCTGAAGAACTCTATACATTTTTACCCATTCTTTGCTCCTTTATTTTTATTTTTTGGTAGCTAGGTGATGCAGTTAATAGTGCACTGGGCTAGGAATCAAAACTATCTAAGTTCAAATCTGGCCTGAGACACTAGATTTGTGACACCGGACAAGTCACTTCAGCTTTGTCTGCCTCAGTTTCCTCAAGTCTAAAATTGGGATAACAATAGCACCTACCTCCCAGGATTGGGATCATTATCAAATGAGATCATAT